CAGCAGGTCGACAGAAATCGAGTGAAGTAAATATTTACAAATTTGCTGTTCAAGGTCAACAATATGAGAGAGAGCATGAGAGAGATCACGAGAGAGACCATGAGAGAGTCTAACTCCACTACATTTGCATTTCCATTTGCACCACAAGTCAAATTCTACACGTGTGCTCTGTGATTATACCAGGCACGCAGAAAGTGCAGAAAGTCGTCGAGTGATATTTTTCACAAAAATTCATTTCAAGGTCAACCGAGGGAGAGCATTTGCAACTTTCTCTTCTCACAGAACTACTCCATTTCAAGGTCGTTTGGTGAGCGAATTGCGCGGTTTTTTTGATCAGCACGTGGACTGAGGGCATGAGCCGAGCTGGAAAAAAAGGGGCATAATTTTATATGACCATTACTTGCGCATTTGCAAGTATGAGTGTTTTGTGAATTTCGGTTCGCCAGGATTGGCTCTGTGGCATATAGACCAAAGGCAATCGGGTCATCTAGGAACCGCTAACTGTCTCGTTTGCAAGCGAGCGAAATTTGCTTGAAAATATGCAAAATTCCGCTATAGCTTGTACGACTTTTACTGGCCTTATTTCTATTTTGGACAGATTTATTATTGATAATCCTCTTACACTTATACAGACTAATACAGAGACTAACAATTTCCCGAGCTTAAGACTTTTAAGTTTAGAGATTTGCTTGAAGACAATGCTGATCTTTATTCTTTTACTACTTAGCAATAAAAATGACAATATTTATATGATTAGCTAACTAATACATGTTATGCTAATAAATAATAACTTTCTTAATGGCAAACGCCCAGAGAGTTGGCTTGAGTTTCGTGTTTTGTCACATGGAAGAATATACATACATACACATACATATACCATATATATTTATAGCAGCCGTAACTCTTTTATATTCACTACTCCCACGCCCCGCAGCGACAGCCAACAATCAACTGAACGTGGGCGTTTTGGCTTGCTTTGTGGCTTGATCTGAACGCCTCGGCAAACGGAGTCGCAATCGTAACTCTGGCGACATCTAGCTTGGGCATCTGCGCATCCTAGACGCGTCATGCTGTTGCCGTTGTCTGTCTGGATGGCGGGCTGTTTGGTTCACTGCAAGGGCGTAGGACAACCTACGTTTTATTTTTGGTCTAATGAAATGCAGTTCGCTGTAGGTAAAACAAGTAAGTGTAGTCTCACTCAGAGTGATTGACTACGAGATGCTCTGAGTGGCAAGCCATGTTCATGCGGACATTTCAAGTAGGCTAAAGCACGGTATTTCACAAGGGAGTTTCTTCTTCTATGAGTATACGTTAAGACAAGTCGAATATCCTATAGTTAAACAAAGCTAAATATCAATATTTTCATAAAACTAACAACATCTTAGGTAATTTTCTGTAGTTGCCTAGCTGCCTCCTCGCCCTCTTTCAAAACACCATCAAATATATTCAAGGCAATAAGAACGTGGACCTCTTGCAGCAAACGCCTCGCGATGCGAGCAGCCTTTGTGA